TGAGCGTTTGCGTTGATTGTCCGAGATCTGTTGAGGCCGAAGAACATTCTTCTGGTCATAGTTTCTACTTTAGCCAGCTTGCGGTCCCTCAATCTTGTAAGACTTGGCCTTGGCATCGCTGATTACTTTAAAGTTCTCTTCTATGTCCTGAGCTTTAAGGAAAGGATCCATGTTATGGGAGGAGAACTTCCTGGCGTTGAACTGTGGTAAGTGCGCGGCGCCTGGGCTTTAGTGGCTGTCTTGAAAGCTGTGTCCAGGTTCTGTGGAACCGCCATGCGATGGGATCGATCGAGGGGCAGAGTGGCTGGTCGACATCATCATCTCTCATAAGATAGGTGTGAGCCGGATTATTGTCTTTAGATGGTGAAGCCAAGTCCAATCCATTAGCCATCCAGTAACGTATTTCAGAGCTGAGAAGGGGACGCTGATACTCCTCCGACGGTGAGCGAGGTGGAGTCCTGCGTGACTGTGGTGACCTGGGTGGCGATCTACGCGGGCGACCTGCGCGCTGAGACTTGTTGGGCAAACGTCGTGGTGACCTGCGTGGAGACCGTGGAGTCCCTGCGTGGGGATCTGCGTGGAGATCGGGCGAGGAGATGGGCGTGGTGAATGGCCCGGACGAACTGTGCCCTAGGGTGACCAGGGGGACCGCGAGATGGGGACTGTGGGTGAATCTCTGGTGAATCCCTCGGCGATCTACGGACTTAAGATGTTTTGGATACTGTAGCTGGCGTCCGCCGGCGAAGGCCTTCGAACGTTCATCTGAGTCTGCATCTTGGGAGTGGCGACTGGTCCTTTCGCGGAAGGCCTTCGCGAAGGCTGGTTGTCCGAGCCAGAGTCCGGGATGAGCGATTCCTCCTTCGCTGAACGCCGCGCAAACGTTGATCATCCGAGTCGAAGCAGGTGAAGATCGTAGTAGCGCATAACGCCTTCGCTAACGCTGATCGTCCGAGTCCTCCGCAGGAGCTGGCTGAGTCGACCTTCGGCGCAGGCTGGTCCGGTAGTGTAGTTCTGCTGGCAGAAGTCACGTTGATGGCTGGCCCCTCAGAGATGATGTCTGCGTTGGAGCCTTCGCCGAAGGCTCGGGCCCTGGGCTGGCTGTTTCTTTTCCAGGCGTAGCGCTCCTCCATCATCTCCATGATCTGCTGGGAGAACTGCTGCATAAAGTCGCCGGGAAGGTCTGCGGTGGTACCAGCGCTGCCCTTTCTGGCGCGTTGATGGCGACGGGCCCGCGGGGACGATCATCTGTTGTCAGCGTTGATACTCGGGTTGAGAATGGATCTGCGCTGAAGTCACCGTAGCTGAGACCGGTCGTTTCTTGTGATGAACCTCTGGGATGATGATCGGCTGATCATCATACAGGCCCTGTTCTGCGACGGGAACAATCTCGGCCGAGAAAGTTCTAGTAGTCTGCGCTGACTTCCCCTTGGTGGTGGACGCTGCCCTGGGGGTGCGAAGTCTGCGCTGGGTGGTTGACGACCTCCGAGTCTTGGACTGCGACAGACGGGATGTCTGGAGATGCAGGTCTCTTCTTGGAGGTGGCGGACTTCGTCCCACGCCTCTCCTCCGAGGGAAACTCCAGCGGAACACCAGACGGTAGGGGGTCGTCCGACAGCAGTTGACTGGTGAGGGACTCAGCTGAATTATCCATGACTGGATCAATCCTTCGCGACCTATCTGCGGCACGTCTCAGGACGCAAAGAAGATATTTATTAAATGCACAAGTTGATAAATGCTTGCAATAATTGCAGCATGAGCTGAAAGAACATGGTACCGTGCAGCTAGGGCATATTAGGTGCGGTCAGCAGCAGAGAAACGAACTTACATACATGGAACAGATTTTCATCAACGTAAACTACTGAACAAACACGGAATACACCATGAATAAACAGTGGTAAATACTTAATAAATATCAAATCATATTGATGAAAGATACTAGCTAAACCTCTATAAAGAACTTATAGAGGTAACTAACTAAATAATAAAAGGATATAGTGCCGTAAGGAGACACAGGCAGGCTCTCACAACCTGCTCACTGGGCTTAAGAAGGAGAGAGTGAAGCATGTGGGGAACAGTGGCGCCAGTTCCCGCCAAAACGGAAGGAGGGACAACTCTTGGTGAGTAGTGATTAGTGATTTTACGTGACGCTTTATTGAAGGGAGCTTCAATAAGGAGATACAAGTGTTCCACTATGTTAGCAAGAGGAAGAAGACAAGCAAAAAGAGCATGAGTCAGGATAAGGAAAAATAACATAATTGGAAATATAAGAGGAACAGCTGGTAATAATTACATTAGAATATGTCTAACAAATATGTTTTTCTCCTTCTTTTTAGTTGTATCAAAGAGGTTTAATTATTTTAAAATAAATAAGTCAAAACCCCAAAACCACAACCTAACAATTCAATGTACATGTGTTTCAATGATATTAAGAAACTTGGGAATCAAACAGGGATAGAGTTATCATTCTGTTTTAAAGTAGTTCTGATGTTCATGCGCCAATATGAAATCCTTCCAGAGGGTCACGAGTCGCTATTTGGCTTGTCCCGAATAGCACAAGTTGGTCACTTAATGATTTATTTAAAGGTCACATGCAACCAAAAATCAAACATAATTAAAACACAATTATCACTTATTCATGCTATATATAATATACATTGCTGGTTATGAAAAAAACATAAACAAAAATATAAGCTTACAATCGCAAATCAAAAGTGCAATATTGTGTACTTGGGTTTACTTCACAAGAAAGGAAGCAGTCAGGATACCGAACCCAGTCAGAGCGGGTGAGTGTGCACTCAAGTGTAACGGCTGGTTCATTTGCAGATGCCCTCACGGCTCATTGTGTGTGTATATACAGTGTACTCTGTCAATACTGGCATCACTCGGGACCAAATAAAATGCCGGTTTTGACAGAGTGCCGGTTTAGGGTTGGTTGCAAGTTCACTTTATGACGCTGGCAACACACGGGAAGTTCATGGTCGCATTCGTCACTTTAGCATTAACAAACATGTCTGAATAAGAAACAAGGCAGTGTCTGAATGCACATTCATGTTTATTCATGTAAATAAACTCTTTGCTGGTTTTACAGTCAAACTGCCCATGTAAGTGACACGCACTACCATTCACTAATTAACAAGACACTGATTGACACTTCCCGCTTCTGAATAATCTCGGAGTCAATACCCTCTCGAATCAACAACATGTAAACACTTGCTTGTTTTACAGTCAAACTGCCCACTACATGTATTAATTACTCTCATGTAAGTGGTAATGCATTACCACTCACTGATTAACAAGATACTGATTAACACTTCCCGCTTCTGAATAATCTCAGGAGTCACAGTTTAATTGTGTTATACAGAGATGTTGGGTTTTGTAAATACATGCTCATTTTTGTGTATAACATTTTGCTATCAACAGACATCATAACATGTCATGTGTTCAAGTATCACACCTGCCTGTCTGTGTAATTACATAATGTGACAGAGACCTCAACTCGGGCCATAAATCAATGCGTTTTGTTTATGGTGTGTAGCCTGATTGGTGTTAAGTTCAAATTGCATGTGGTCAGTGATCGCAGTTGTGTATTGAATATTGTCATGAGCAGACAGGCAGGCAGACACACAGGTGTCAATGAAACTAGACATTCAGTTTTGTCTGTGACAACGACAGATCTATATCACAGCTAGAAATTCTGTCAACGCTAAATAATGACATTGCTTTTAAGTATCGAACTGAGAAAGTGACTCGGTAAGAAGAACGTGTGGTGAAATAGACAAATGAAATTATATAAACAGTTTATTTACTGTCATAACATATAAAAGCTCGCGCTTCTGTGAGATATCAACAAAACATTAGGAACATAGCTCACACCAAAGCCTTCACCGAGTATTCACCGGACAGCCCGCTTCCAAGTTGCCCGAACCTATTTCACTGCGCACGTGCTATGAGCGCAGCCCACCTGTTGAAACCAGTTTTCCCCCGAAAAGTCGGGGGAAAATTAGTGAATTGTTTGAACTCCGATTTCGCATGTTTTTTTTCATCGCGTTATTTTTCAACTTTATAAGTTGAATTTGCATTTTTGATGATTTGTTTCGGTAAGTCCATACCGAAAGGTATCAGAATCTGCAAAGTTGTGTTTTACGTTGCATGTGACCTTTAAGAGAGATATGGTACTTGGAATAAAGGATGTACCAATAAAAACCATGCTCTCAAAACTACCCAATAAATGTCTACAAAAGAAAAGTTCAGTGGACTGATCCATCTACTCATGAGATGCACATGCACAGGCCAATCCCATTGTATTTCAATGGGGAAAAGCATACTAGGCACATGTCAAGTGGGTCCTCACCCCTCAAAAGCTAAATGGACCTGCCCACAGAAACCTAAGTCTGGTGTATTTTGTTTTAGCCTAGCCTATGCCTAACCCTGTCCCAACCCTAAAAAAGACAAGCCTAATTTCTACTAAAAAACCTAACCATTACAGTATTAATAACACTTCTTAATGTACACAATTTTATCATGATATCAGAGAAAATGACGGACAAGACTACAAGTTCAGAAAGGACAGTGAATTACATTGAGCTTATCTTTGCTAGAAAACAGCTAGAACTGCAACATCAGTATTTACTATGGTAACACAACCAAAATCTTCATATCGGCTTATGTGCATAAGCTATAAAAATTGTCATACAACGTTGAGTGACGGTATGACGATGTTGACTAAGAGCTAGTATCTGCCTTTGGAAAGAGTTCCTTCCGTTCCCCCAACCCTAAACCTAACCGTAACTTAAATTTTGGACTTTTAGTCATTTTTGTGAGTCCTCTAGTAATTGTTGATAATTTTAGCATATATTAATTTATAAATATTATTTGGGAAGGGGGAACGGGAGGAACTCTTACCATGCCTTTATTTCACAAGTGTTATTGCAATTATGTCCTTCATGGTTACCAGTTAGTAACCAATTTACTGAAAGTAATAAACACAAAAAACTGATTACCTGTTGCCGTTTCTTCTTTCTTTACTTGCCTCCCTACTCTCTTTGTGTGCTTAAAACTGTCTGTAATCACCGAATTCGACATGATCGTAATGAGACACGCGACCAAGGAATCACAAAACTTAAACAATATGCTGACACGAAAGTCAGGAAATAAACTTTATGCAACGCCACGCCGTTCTATTTACAACTTGACCTAAATATCAAGCGTCTAAAGTTGTAAACATATAAGAACTGTCAAAGGGGAGTAACTGCTCATAGCTAAATATGCCGTCGACAAGAACTAAGATTCAGAACTAGACGTTGGGAGATGATCTTTATATAAAAAACATCAACACATATACAACGATAGTATTTCCCCATATTTATATGCAATAAATATATTTAAATATAAAATATGATACTACGACTAAGGAAACTTTCTAAATTATCTCTTTTGCAATAAATTCCCAATAACGGAGTTTAGGTTTTCGTTTTATTCATTCCAGTATTTTGAAAAACTCAAAGATTGTTATTCCAGATTCACCAATAAAAATCGGCGTCACTTTTCTTTCACGTTGAAGAAACCAATCGCAGACGACGAACCATCCACGCACTTGCACACGTCCAACTCAGCACGTCGGAAATCAACATGGCAGACGAAACCTCTTCGGTACCGGTAATCGCAGTGACAGCGGCCGTAGGCGCCGTGGTTCTCTTGTTGATTCTCTTATGCGGCATCGGAAGGAAGGAACAGAAGAAAGAAGAACAAGGTGAGCGATTATTTTAATCCGATAAGTCCGAGTTTTTTGTAGTTGACGATGTTCATGGAGAAGCCCTATTCCATAAACAGCTGATTGAGTGAATGCCTTTTTAAGACAACACCCCGTCATATAAGCACGATATAACGTGATCTCATAAAAAGCGCATGTCAATGTCATTGCTATCAGTTTGAATGCTTCATGATTCTTAGACAGTATTGCTGCGTAATATGTATTACAGGTTTCTAATTAAATGGATTTCAAGAGTTTTTTACAATTTGTAAAGTGATAATTAACACCCCAATTTTGTAATCAAATCATTTAGGAAATAGTATCCGGAATTACACATAGGTGAATATAATAACAGTAAAACTGAAGTTTGTCCGTTAAATCTTGATATTTTGATGATTAAAAATTGCCTTTTATCACCTGCCTCAATTTCAGAGTGACTGTGCAATTAGATTGTCATTCAAGATCAACATCATTTGGCACACTATGCCCAACAAAACTAGGGGGTCTAACCACCAGTTACAAAATTCAGGGGTCCTTGCAGGAAATATGAGGGTTCTGTAAAGTAATGAAATACTGCAGTGTAGTTTAAACTTTAATACTTACTTTGTCGACAATTTGGTACTGTGATATCCCTAGGACACTATATATATGATTAGAACTTCTTCACCCTTTCTATACATTTGTGCACATTTATGTCGCTTGTAAAACCCTGGCACACAAATGAGTTGCCTGAATAAATGATTAGAACTTAATGCTAAACCATGGAGTTTATGGTCAGGCTGTGAGTTGTTCACTATTTGCAAAAACTGTAGTCAAACTTCCTTTGGTATTTTCTATTGTGTGCACTGTATGATAACATTGTGCTTGAGGTAATTTCCAGTCTTAGTAGTGTCAGTAGAAGAGGAGTGGTATAATTGGTTGTTTTCACTTCTTTAATATTTTATTACTTGAGCAACTTGTTAACTTTGTCAGTAGACATTTCAGCTTCTCAAAGCAAAGTAGACAGTTGTAATCATGGCATTCTCAGTTTCACTCATGTCAAATTCAGCCTTATTTTCATCACTTGTATCTGAAACCTGTACTGCTAGTGTTAGAATGTTCTGTATTTATTCAGCTGCTGTATGTTCCTGGTGGTGCTTGCTGGCATTCTTGATCATTTGATATGGCCGCATCTGCTGCAAGTAACATTGCCATACCTAATGTCACATTATCACCACGAAAATGAGATCTTTGACAATGAATCTATTTGTTTAATTCGACAGGGACAGGAAATAATTCAAGTAAATGGAAATCCCTAACAAGTCATTGCATATTTTGACGTAAGCACTTAAACAACATGATTAAAGGCACAATGTCACACCACACTTCTCTAGAAATACACAATGCCTTTCTCTCAATAATACTATCTGCCCTGAGGGAAGCTACCATATAATTTATTCCCCTAAAATTACGTATTTAGATTATAATATTTAAGTATAAAGTTCGAATGAATTAATGCAACATTGCATTAAATCGACTCTCGCTCCCTATAACATGTCTACCAGCCGAAAATTATTTCAAGTGAACCCCATAGAGTTATGTCCCTTGCGATCTTTACGAATATCCTACGCACGACTTGTGATTGAAACCAGTTTGGCAAACACCAACAACACAGTATGCGACAGTTTTCGATGTATGGAACAATCATTTACATTCCATATGTGGCAAGTGTTACCTGTTTGGAAGCTGTTCGCCTCGAAGTTTCAATTATCGATTTCAGGCTTGTTGTAAGGGATAATAAGACTTTTATCGCATCAATAGGTAGCTAAAGTGAGTGCATATGCCCCTACTATATAAAATATAGGCCAAAATATTGTCAAAAATGTGTGACCTTGTGCCTGTAAGACTGATATCATCAGAAAAATGAGAGCTATGGAATTTTCTGAAATTCAGGACCTATTCACCTATGCTTGTTTGCTATACGTCTTTATTCATTAACATCATATATGTATACATCAATACTTTCCTTAACTGGAGCTACTGTAATGATTTCTTAAGACTTGCCTGTTCAAGTCACTATAGTAATATGTCCAGCTGTCACTACTCTATGCAGCTCAGTGTAAGGCAGGTGACAATGATAAACAAATAAACATGCTAATCAATCTCCTTTAAATGAGATCTTTTTCTCTGATACGATACATCTGTTTGTGAACATAGAAAGACACCTGGATAGACATGAAAGAAGGCATATAGACATATTAGATGAAGACTACATAAACTTTGACCAACCAATATAAATAATTAATATTCCTGGACCAATCAAATCAGTTTTCTAGAATGTGTGAATGCATGTGTAGTTGTGTTCATGATCATTTGATGTCAAACCCTCCTGTGTATTCTCATCCCTTACAAGATTGACAATGGCATAAGTTTATTCAATTTGGGTTTGCTGTCAGAGATAGAGTGGTAATAAACAACATGTCTTCCCTCCCCTGCTGCTTTCTGTAATTTAGTGTAAATGATCTACAATATACACCCAAAAAGTGAACTGTCATGTAATATTTTCATGTTAGTAAGGGGCACTAATAATGATTACTTCCAGATTAATCTAGAAGTTGGTCAGGGGCACTTATTGAAGCAGAGTGAGTGAGTGAGTTTAGTTTTACGCCGCACTCAGCAATATTCCAGCTATATGGCGTCGGTCTGTAAATAATCGAGTCTGGACCAGACAATCCAGTGATCAACAGCATGAGCATTGATCTGCGTAATTGGGAACCGATGACATGTGTCAACCAAGTCAGCGAGCCTGTCCACCCGATCCCGTTAGTCGCCTCTTACAACAAGCATAGTCGCCTTTTGTGGCAAGCATGGGTTGCTCAAGACCTATTCTACCCCGGTTCTTCACGGGTATATTGAAGCAGAGCATTTAACACGATGGATTGAGTATATTATATACTTGATCGTTATAAAACATTATCTGTCAAGTCAGCTCAAATTTCACGTTGTGTAAAAGAGTGTTGCATGTTCCAGAACAATCTGAAGAACCAAAGAAGACTGAAAAGACCAATGACAAAGGTTCAAGGAAGGCAAAAGTCAGCTTAAAGGGAAAGAAAGCAGCTCACCCGGCCTTTACCCATCAGTGGCTAGCAGGAACCTTGAAAGGACATGGGAGTCCAATACTTGCCTTCGACTTCAGCCCCAATGGAAAATACATCTTGACATGTGCCGAAGGTAATTGTAACAGTTTACTGCAAGTTTTTTATGTTAAATAAGACAGGGCTCCAGATAGTTTTTCAACATCAGGCGTACGTACTCCTTATATTTTCAACATAGGAGTACTGGAAAACCTTAAGTGAGTGAGTGAGTGAGTGAGTTTAGTTTTACGCCGCACTCAGCAATATTCCAGCTGTATGGCGACGGTCTGTGAATAATCGAGTCTGGAGCAGACAATCCAGTGATCAGCAGTATGAGCATCGATCTGCCTCTTACGACAAGCATAGTCGCTTAAGAACCTTAAGAGTACATTTAGAGTACTGCGTGGAATTTAATGGAGTATCAGTAATCTTGTGTTTCGTTTCATATATGCACCACAACATTGATACTTTTGTGTAAACAGGTCAATAAACAATAAAATAATACTTTTTCAGATAATTACGCCTGTAAATGATTCTAAGACCGTACACCATTGCTGTGGTGCGTATCTGCTACGTTTTCTAAATTATTTCCTACCGTATCGTGCATATTTTTTATCCGTACATACGCCGATACGGCCCTTATCTGGAGCCCTGATAAGAGTTGAAGTACTGGTTCCAGAAGTTTCAACAATATTGTTCTAATTCTGAATATAATGGTTCAGGTTTTGCATTGGAATCCCTAAAGAGCTGAATCAGCTTCCCACTTTATGTTCTAACCATTACATTCTTCTGAGACATGCAATAATAGGTAAGGGGTCATGTGGCCTTTGGTCTGACTGTGGACAGCTCTAGGGTCCCAAAAAAGGATAGCATCATTAAAACTCCTTAATACATGATAACCATGATCACAGGCACAGAAGATATATTCCTTGTGTTATTTGCCATGGTAACAGTCTTAGGCCTACCTAGAATACAGTACCACAAACTTTACAAATGACATCACAATACCTTATGATGTAATTTGTGAAACCTTTGTACCAAAAACAATACTATGTGACATCAAACAGTTGCTGGGTTATCGAGTGTGTTGAAGCTCAGGGCTCGATTTAGAGCTTTGTTACTTGCACTGGTGCAACGCAATATTACAAAGTGCAACCTAGTTATGAGTCTTAACTTGCACAAGGTGCAAGTCAATTTCTGAGAAATAAATCAACAATAAATCTAACATTATAAGCAGAAACATGTCAGCTCATTTTTCTCCTAAACTTTGAATAGCTATTGCACTGAAATATTGCTATTCATATACATGTACACGTTTCGGCTATGACAGCTCTTGTAAACAGGGATCAGCTGTGTCTCTGTGTTGCTATGGTTACATAGGTACTACATCACGGAAATATGTTTATGTGCACCGAAACCTCTGACGTTTTTACACACTTCTTTGCAACTGGAATTTGGCTGATGCAACATGGTTTTTATCTTAGGTTGCGTCTGGTGCAAGTAGGTTAACCTCTCATAAATCGAGCCCTGAAGTTCCTCTTAGTGTTCTGTTGTCTCTACATGCATTGTCAGTGAGTAGGTCAAACATAGATGGTGTTCAAATTATGAATAAGATAGTTCAGGTTATGCATTGGAATCCTATAGATTCTTCTATGGTGTTTTCTATTTAGTATATGATAAAGCACTTCTCCATATATAGAGCTGACGATAATAGGAACTTTTATAGGATGGACATTCTGTGCTTAACATTCATTCGGTATTTAGTTTGATTTTAAGACAAAACAAACGGAAACAATTTAAACTTGATATCTTTTATTCACCTCTTTTAGTTTGTGTTTTATCATGTGAATGTCTCATGCAGATAGCAAGTTCCCCAAAGGATATTTGCTGCCTCTGCTGGCTGAGGTTCTTGAGGCTGAGATGATTCAAATGATTATATCTAACTGAAATTAAATATTACCATGGATCAGCATGACCACAGGCACAGTCGATATATTGTTTGTGTTATTTACAATGGCTATTGGGGCAGTGGGGTAGCCTAGTGGTTAAAGCATTCGCTCGTCACGCTGAAGACCCTGGTTCAATTCCCCACATGGGTACAAAGTGTGAAGCCCATTTCTGGTGTCCCCCACCGTGATATTGCTTGCATAGACCCATGAAGGTCCGGGTTAGAATATTGGCCTTCAGTAACCCATGCTTGTCGTAAGAGGTGACTAACGGGATCGGGTGGTCAGGCTCGTTGACTTGGTTGACACTTGTCATCGGTTCCCAGTTGTGCAGATCGATGCTCATGCTGTTGATCACTGGATTGTCTGAACCAGACTCGATTATTTAAAGACAGCCACCATATAGCTGGAATATTGTTGAGTGAGGCGTAAAACTAAACTCACTCACTATTGCTGGAATATTGCTAAAACTTAGTAAAAGTGACATAAAACTAAAAAACTCACTCACTCTTAATGTTGTTTTCAGATAGATCTCTCATGATGTGGAGCGTGAAGGAATTTCTACAGAAAGAACATAAGTGAGTGCCATCAACATTAGCAACCGTTGTTTGTCATGTTTATAAAAATATAAAACGGGAACATGATATTTTGCACATTCATATCTGTCCTCCACATTTTGTATCTTGCGGACGGTAGTATAGTTGATGGGGGTGTGGAACCAATCCGCACAGATTTATATCACGGGGCAGGACGATGGGGGCACTGTATCAACCACCACCATGCTGGTTTTTTTCAAGAATGAGTTTAAACTGGAAAAAGATGATTTAATATCGCATGTGTTATATAGAGGTGTGATGATACAGAAATTTCACGATACAATACGTATTGCGATATCTTGGAACGATACGATTCGATTCGATGCATATCACGATATGCTATCTTTAGTTATTTTCTTTCAAAATGTATATTTTGATAGCAAGTAACATTGTAAATTTTGACATGACTGCCAATTTCTGGTGAAAATTATTTATTTTAAGGTCAGCGATACATATCACGATACGAAAAAAAGTATCGATATATTTATCGTCAGGTAAAGTATCACGATTATCGATACTACGCATAGGCGGATCCAGATGGGGGGGTGCAGGGGTGCGCAACCCCCCTTTTGTGCTGAAAGTTTGTTAAATGACCATTGAAACTGGGGTGAAAATGAAGTGTGCACCCCTCCTTTTCTCAATAGTGTGCAACCCCCTTTCTCAAAAAGCTGTATCCGCCCCTGCTATGATATATCGTCACAGCTCTAGTGTTATATCCTTATGATACCAGGTGTTCCAAGTTTAACTGGGATTGCAAACAACCAGGAAAGTTGAGTGATGGTGCCATAAGTTTCATTCATCATCTCAGAAACAATTTTTTATTGAATCTCATCTTATCGTGCATTGTTGTTTTGTCCAGTGTTCACGATGTTGTGTTAACTGTTTCAGATTCATCAGAGGAAGTGTAGAACTAGATCATGCCACTCAACTTGCCTTCAGCCCAGACTCGAGGTAGCGATGATTAATCTATAATAGTACAACATGGAGCATGATGATCCCTTGTTCTGTCACTTTTATCATTTTTGGGGGGATACAGTGTACAAGGATATCAACCTTTTTGATTTTATGTGTGTGCAGGATTCAGGTCTGTGGCAGTAGCACTCCTATGAGGCTGATGGCCTTAGTTGTCAGATGCATACTGTAAATCATGAAATTAATGCGAAAAATGCGTCTGTAATCTTCTCGCATTATTACAATGACGCATTTCAGTCTGACCATGTCTACTTAATAAAAGACAGAAAACGTAAATCTGTTGACACTACACATTACACCAATACAGGTCACTTCCTCATTACAGGTATCTCAAACCACATGTAATTATCACTGGTTACAATTACTGGTCATTGTTTAAAGTCACTCAAGCTCGGTGCCAGCACGGACATTCTCCAGCCACTTGTTTGTTGTACCTTGGTAGATGACTAAGTTGGTAGATGTCCAAGTAGCAAGCAATCACGTGATCAAACATGGCAGCGTAATCAAAACATCGTCAGCTGATTTCCATTCATTGCTCAACAAGCTCAATTCCTTTTATCATCAACACAGATTCCTGAGCACGCATTAATTTCATGACGCATTTTAGACTAGACCCACGCACTCGCATTAAATTTGTGACGCATTAATTTCATGATTTACAGTATATAATTAAAATGTTCGTACATGCAGTGAGGCTTGAACTAGTGTCATATTATAGTGATATGAGTATCTATTTACTGCCCGGAAGATAACTGTTTTAAAAGGCAAGGCAATAACTGAGAGTCTTTCTTGAACTATCCCCAACAATATAAGATTATGACCTCTATAATGTTTATGTTAGTTTTAGAGACACAGAAATCAGATTTACTGCTGTGAAATCTTTGCTCTTAGGGACTGTGGGGTAGCCTAGTGGTTAAAGCATTCGCTCGTCACGCCGAAGACTGGGGTTCGATTCCCCACGTGGGTACAATGTGTGAAGCCCATTTCTGGTGCCCCTGGCCGTGATATTGCTTGAATATTGCTAAAAAGGGGTGTAAAACTAAACTCACTCACTTACTTGCTCTTATGGAGAGTTTGGAAACATTGACTCTTAATTCTTAATAGAAACAGTCAGCTGATGTAATCGCTTATGGGTGGCTTGTCAGGTCATCTCACAGAGAAGTAATGTATAGGAGAGAAAGCTCTTTTAAATGAAGTCCTTATCACAACAATAACAAGAAGGCTGTTTGATTCCTGTTTGATTCCTTGATAACAAGAAGACTGTGTATCTTCATTTCAGGGCAGTTGTCGCGGTCTGGGCAATGCTAACATCATCCGAATCTTCCGCCTGGGGAAGAAGGAGGATGGCTCTAGTGTCACCATACAGGGTGCCATGGACTTCCCCCAGGTGTGTTCTGTCATTGTCGTCGTCGGAGAGTGGGGAGGAAAGGAGAGTGAGTGTGTCAGTTTAGTTTTACGCCACACTCAGCAATATTCCAGCTATGTGGCGGGGGTCTGTAAATAATCGAGTCTGGACCAGACAATCCAGTGATCAACAGCATGAGCATTGATCTGCGCAACTGGGAACCAATGACAAGTGTCAACCAAGTCAGCGAGCCTGACCACCGATCCCATTAGTTGCCTCTTACGACAAGCGTAGAGGAGAGAGAGAGAAGGGAATGGAAAGAGGGAAGATATTCACCTGGCCCATTATACTTTGCACCATGATAGTGAATACTGTTGTCAAGGAACTTGCATATTGCACACTTAAATTCAAAAAGACATGCCTGAGAATCTTTAAATCAAACATTTGAATTCCTTAAAAATGTACTATTCCTGACATGTAAAAACACCTTCAGAGTTCTAATTGCATGTCTTTGGCAAACAGTCTGGTGCTAATTTCTACCCTGGATTTTACTGTTGACTAGATCATAAACTGAAGACATTATTGCATGAATTCAAAGATTTGAATGCAAATTGTTTTTAATAGCTTTATTCTTCATGTATGTTACAGCACCACAATGTCGAGATCATCAGCATCGGCATTGCTTCAAATGGGAAGTTCATTATGACTTGTCACAGGGACACAACTATAATAATATACAACCTCAAAGGTGAGGGTTTATCATGTGTCTCAGGGATATTGCTACGGTTAGATATAACCTAAAATGATGCTTTACCATGTATAACAGTGACTTAACAGTAGTTACATGCTAGTGCAAATCAGGTTTTGTTCTACATTGAACAGGACCTTACTTATTGTACCTCAAAGGTGAGGGTTTACTGCATGTGAAAGAGACAGAGCTGTAGTTATATGTAACCTCAAAGGTGAGGGTTTGCTGCATGTCAGAGAGACAGAACTGTAGTTATATGTCACCTCAAAGGTGAGGGTTTGCTGCATGTCAGAGAGACAGAACTGTAGTTATATGTCACCTCAAAGGTGAGGGTTTGCTGCATGTCAAAGAGAAAGAGCTGTAATTATATATAACCTCAAAAGTGAGGGTTTACTTTACGTCAAAGAGACATAGCTTTAGCTGTATGATACCTCCAACTTGAGGGTTTACTGCTCAAAGCTTTTTCTGCTTAAGGGGGAGCAAACATAGGATTTACAATTACCCATGAATGATAAAACATTTGAAAATGATTTAAGATAATCTGATCATATAAATGAATAAAACAACTTAAAGTGTTTAGTTTGAGAATTGTATTCTGCAACAAGTAATACTATCCTAAAATAAAAGTTGTGTATTGTTGCATGTTGATCATGTGTCCTTATGAAGATGACACGTGTGGTATGAAGATGACACGTGTGTGGCATGAAGATGACACGTGTGTGGCATGAAGATGACACGCGTGTGGCATGAAGATGACGCGTGTGGCATGAAGATGACACGTGTGGCATGAAGATGACACACGTGTGGCATGAAGATGACACATGTGTGGTATGACGATGACACATGTGTGGTATGAAGATGACACATGTGTGTCCTAGAAAACCCTGCTGTCAGTGACTGAATGTTTCTGTGTTTGTTTGTTCCAGGAGAAGTATTGTCTAGGATAGACACACACCAGATGTCAAACTCATTTGGTGCTGTTTCACCTTGTGGAAGGTTTGTGGGATCGTCAGGTAAGCCTTACACCAGAAACCTATACATTGTATATGTCTTTAATGCAAGTGAGTGAGTGAAGTCTACGGCTATTGGCATTATTTTAGCAATATCACCACACAGAAACAGGCTGCACACATCGTACCTCTGCAGAGAGACCTAGAAACAATTTACCAACGAATCAACCCTTCTTCCCTACCCCCTCCTCTTCCTTGAGTGAGAGTGGCAGTGGGTTAGCCTAATGGTTAAAGGGTTCGAAGATTCGGCTTCAATTCCCCACATGGGTACAATGGGTGAAGCCCATTTCTGGTTGCCCCCACCGTGATATTGATAGAATATTGGTAAAAGCAGCGTAAAACTAAACTCACTCACTCACTCCTTGAGGTTTTATTTAAGATATTGAAACATTTACCACTTCACAATGTCCAAGAGCTTCCAGTTTGCCTAACTTTCAAATATTCCAAAGGGTTATATTTTTAACTAATCCTGCACTACTTACTTCCTGCACTTATTGCTTACGACTTGAAACATGGCTGTGCCAGACGATTGATGTTGAAAGCGTAGACTGTGATCACTTCCTGGTCTCGGGTAAATATCCATCTGCGCACGCATCACCGGAAGGTGACGTCAGCCACCTCAGATTATTGCTTTTGGCACGCCTCGCAAGACGTGTGGTTTGCCAGCTCGACTGATTTGTATCCTATGAATTGTGTTTATTGATAATAAACTGACTTTTGGGTGTTTTCCTTTGTTCTTCAGAGAGTGTAGGAATTACCTTTCTGTTTCGTCTTTTTAGTAGTACTGTGATGGTGATGGTGTTTGTGATAAACATGATGTTTTTCATCACTATTATCGGTCACTTCGCCATTCAGAACACGTGGCTTCGATGTATTTGTAGTAGCTTGTTCTTGGCTCATGCTTATTTGTGGTGTCCTTAATTCTGGTCTCCAGTTTTTGTTAGTATTTGTGAGACGTTTGCTCTCAATTATGCTGTTATAGCCCGTTACTATTAAACTGTTTCCCTGTGTGTTCCTCATCACTATTGTAATGTTTTTCACCATGTATTTGCTGGAGGTTTCTGCTATGTTGCAGTTTCTATACGGCACAAGCTGTATAGTTTGAAAGGCGGGGTATCTCATAAGTGCCTACATTCACACTGTTTGAATTGCACTTCCGTGTTTTTCCCCGTATTTTCACATGAATAAATGTGCTTGTTGTGCTTTCTTAATATAATATATATCATCTTAACACCTTTTTTCGTCTATGAAGCGCCAGGTTCAACACCAACGTCGCCTATGGCAAGCACCCAGATACTTGCCACACCACTGATGTCCACTAACTCTAGGGCGTCTGCCCCTCCGTCTCCATTCTCCAGGTTGCTGCTTTCAGAGTTTCCATGGCAGGCGTTATGCTCCTGACGCCTAAGATCCATGCGCCGCACGCTCAGCAGTCACTGGATGTTTCCACATCCATTCCACACTTGACCTAGTTAGCAGGGCAGTCTGGTACAACAGCGCCACTGCTGATCATAACTGCAGCGCCTGTACGGCACATCGACTACGATCTTGGCGTTCAGCAGTTGGTGTCAGCGTCTCCGTCGCCATACCTACCTGTTCCAACTTTGTTCCTGACTACAGCAAATGTATGGTTCACCTGATCCAGCGCCTGTACGGTGCCTATAAACCATACTTACTCATTCCAGAGCCTGTATGGCGTTTCCACCAGATCCAGTGCTTGTATGGGGCTTATAACACCATACTCACTTGCTCACTCCAGCGTTTGTCCGGCGGTTCTACCAGATCCAGAGCGCCTGTCCGGTTTTTCTACCAGATATATCGCCTGTACGGCGCCTTTTCGAGATCCAATGCATATACCTTCATACTCACTCACTCCAACGTCTTGTCAAGCTTATCAACCAGATGCTACCAGCTGTCGTGGTAGCCTCTACTAGATCTGTGCTACCATGCCTCTACGGCTCTCTACTAGATCTAAGCGCTGTATGCGGTGCTACCAGCTGTGATCATGCGCCTCTACTAGATCTAGCCTGTACGGCACCTCTACTAGATCTAGCACCTGTACGGCGCTACCAGCTGTATGTATGGCTATGCGGCAACTCAGATCTAGCGCCTGTACATTGCTACCAGCTGTATGATCTAGCACCTCTACTTGATCTAGCCTGTACATCGCTACCAGCTGATCTACGGCGCCTCTACTAGATCTAGCGCCTATACGGCTACCAGCTGTATGGCGCCTCCACTAGATCTAGCGCCTGTACAGCGCTACCAGCTGTACGGCGCCTCTACTAGATCTAGCACCTGTACGGCACCTCTACTAGATCTAGCGCCTATACGGCGCTACCAGCTGTACGGCGCCTCTACTAGATCTAGCGCCTATACGGCGCTACCAGCTGTACGGCGCCTCTACTAGATCTAGTGCCTGTAAACCCATACTCACTCCAGCAGGCAGACACTGCGATGGAACAGTGTTGGACTCTGAATACTGTGTTCCAGCGGCATTTTTGCCAGATTCAGCACCTATATGATGCCTCCACTATATCCAGTGCCTCCACTGTTTAACATACTGCGTCACCACCTCCATCATCTTCAAGGATTCGGCAGCTGTTGGTTGTGCCACTGTCTCCAATGGCCCCTATGTCGGGAGACAAACACATCTTGCCCTCAGAGACTTCAACTATTATGGCGCCTAAGGCCGGGCGTGGCGTTTATGCAATCCCTTGTCAAGAAATTAGGCGTGTGATAGTTTTCTTCGTACAGTGAGTCTTACAAGGCATGAGTCTCAAGGGATGACGGCCCTTGATTTGGAACTCACACGGATGTTTCATCCTATCTCAAACTTAGCTTGGGCTATTAACACTGTCTCTCAAGACCTGACCTGAGATGAATCCGTACAGGATCGTCACCTCTCTTCTATGATGGCTTGGTAGTGGATGGTCCTCACTGTCCTTGGCGAACACTTACGGGCAGATCTCGCCAATGCACGTGTTATTTGAGGCCAAGGATTTCTCTCCCCTTTTCCGGTTGGGATTCAAAGTTTCAGTGGAATCTTTCTGGCCAACCCTAGTCCTTGTCTACCATATTTAATAACGAGCTCAAGGATGTCTATCGAACAGTGTGTGACTTTCCTCAGAAGGAGATAGTGTTGACGGCCTTCCAGCGCGTCCAACATCCCTCATCACATGAATCCAGTACCTACTCTTGCCTCGACGTCACACTGAATCAGGCTCCGATCCGTGGTTGGAGACGTGGTGACAAGTCTCATATTGACAGGGGAGGATATGAACGTAGCTGCGTCCCCTTCAAGGGTGATGGAAGCAGGGGCAAATGAAGCTCAAGATCCACACGACTGGACACTCCCTCCTCCAGAGACCCTTGTATTATCCAAACACTCGTACATTGGTGACTACTGCGTTTCTGGCGTAATTGTTTTTTTCTTTGGGGTCCATACGTCACGACATCTGGAAACATGTGTTCCGGCTTCTCGTAGCTCTGCCTCAAAGATGTGCATGGTTCCGAGGTTTACTTTTGACCGGGAGTACCTGCGCTTTTACTTCAACAGCTCCATGGTTATTAACTCGTATCATAATGCAGCAACAGTGATAATTTGGTGATTTCATGCGTGCTCACCGCCATATGGCATCATTTGCCTACGGACAGCAGCCGGTCTTCACCATACATCTTTATACTAGCTGGGCTAATTAGCTGGGTTGACTTGTCAACCGGGACGTTTCGGACCTTGTACCATCACACACACTGGCGTACATTTGAAGCCACTTTCAAGCAGACAAGATCCTTATTTGGAATCCGGCAGGTACAGGTTTTAGACCCTCAGCCCATGTGTGCTGTTCGGACCGATGTCCACCCGGGAGTAACAGACAGACATGTCGGTCTCCTGCCTCACTTACCTCAGTATTTTTTTCTTGTAGTGGACTCGCCTATAGATGCAGTCCCCTTGACTGAGCGAGTTCCGAACTACCTAAGTTTACGTCGGCGCCTCCATGCAGAGTTGAGGCGCCCCCTTACTATATCTGATAATCTCAGGGTTTCGGACATGAGATCAATCAGCAGTTTGGAGCTCTAGGCAGTGTTCCTCACTATCCGTCACTGGGCGCATTATCTCCCGGGCAACCCAATTGTTGGGTGGTTTAACAAGAGTTTGACCGGGTTACTGTTTCCAGAAGTTCCGTCGGTTGTCCAGTAATAGCCGACATCCAGAGATACCGGTTTATGTGTCTCTGTCTCCGGATGGTCAGCCTGGGCAGCGGATGGCTTAAGCCATTCTTGGGGGAGCTACATGCAAAATACGTGTCCTCCAGTCTTGCTTCCAAATGTTTTCGTCCCAATCAAGAATTAACAACTTGACTTCGACTATATTTAGTCGGTCCCAGTTGACCAACCAGAGGTTGGTTTCCGATTTGAAACAGTCTAGTGTCAAGTGCCCCTCTTCAACTAGCCAGATGGGGAAACATTCTATAGTGAATCCTCATCCCATGCCAGAACGGTTCAATTAACACACTGCATCTGCAGACGGCATTATGCGCCAATTACTTTTCAGCCAGAGCATTGTTACTGCATTGCTGATGAACATTAGACTCCCATCAGGCACATGTATAACAAGGGGCAGTCATTCGAGCAGTTATGTTGCCACGAAGCAGGATCCGCTGAAAACACACACACACACACACAACCAAAACAAACACACACACACACAAACACACACACACACACACACACACACACACACACACACACACACACACACACACACACACACACACACACACACACACACACACACACACACACACACACACACACACACACACACACTGTTTTTAGCAGTTTCCCTGCTCATATTTAGACGGGAGGCGTTTCAGGAGGGATATGGCTGCCACTTCTGTTAGTGGCAATTCCCTTCATATTAGCAGTCCCCTTTGACCAGAGTTACCGTCTGTGCTTCGTTTCTTTAGCACTTGTGTACCCAAGCTGCAGTTTTGACCACCCGCCAGGACTCGCAACATGGTCCTGGACCGCCTATGCGTTGTGTTTTACAAGTCACTCACGAACACTTCCCTTGCAGACTTGCACAGCGATAGCGACAAGGGTTTTGCGTTTGGTGCGCTTGGTGTTAATTGGACCCTGTTTGAACGACGCAGTCATGGTTCTGTACCTCTGGGTAGTTTATGGGGATTTCATCACTACACACCCATTGCCAGCTAGGGCGAAATGATTAACGGTTCTCTATTTCGCCCTTATCGTCCGTTGTCGGCGTGAAGACATTCCTGTGTTCCTCTTGTGTTCAGCTGGTGAACTCAGTTTGTACATTAAGCGAACTCAAGCCATCAGAGGCATGTAAGTAAAACCCCGGGTGTTTTGTGGATACGGATTTCCATTATTCATGCGTATAATGCGGCTGGTCTGGCTTCCCCTACATCTACGCCAACCTCCAGCACACTCGCCACTCGCCTCTACTATGGCGCTTCACTGTCACTGTACAGTGGCCCTTCACAGTAACTGTACCGTGGCATTGATAATGCAAGAGTGTTTCTAGAAGTCGGACACAGTCTTCGCCAATCAGTATCCACACCATATGTGTCCAACGCTTCCGACCATTGGTGCCAGACCAGCACCTCAACAATCCCCGAAGGATATCACATCCTACATTGTTGTTCGCAATGAAGCATGACGATGTCGTGTGGGGAATGAGTTGTTTTGAGCAAAACAACTGGGTATGTCGGTTAAGGAGTAACACTTAGATAGACTCAGGCCCATGCTTCTTACTGCATTCCCTAAAGCTAATAACGCTTTAAAAATCGTGTGGCCTTTTCCATTTAAGTGTACATGGCTTATATGCGAACTACCACTGAGATGCAATCCCTCTCTGTCGACCAGTCTTCCAGATTCCACGAAGGTGTCTTCATTCATGATATTTCTTCCCTCGAGTCATGATGTCACGGTGTGGGAAGAGAGTTGTTCGGAGGGAAACAACTGGGTGTGTCAGTTAAGGAGTAACACTTCGAAAAACTCAAGTCAATGCTTTTTACTGTATTTCCCTAAAGCTAATCTCGCTTTAAAAATCGCGTGGTCTTTTCCATTTAGGCCTACATGTCTTATATGCGAATTACCACTGAGAGATAGTCACTGTCTGTTGACTATTCTGCCAGGTGCAACTAAGATACCTTCCACCATGATTTTTCTTCCCATGAAGCACACCGACGCCATATGGGAAAGAGTTGTTCTGGAACAACTGGGTGTGTCAGTTAAGGAGTAATGCTTGGGTTAACCCGAGTCACTGCTTTTTACTACATTTCCCTAAAGCTAATAACGCTTTAAAAATCGTCTGGTATATTCCATTTAAGACTACGTGTCTTATATGCGTATAACCACTGCCTGATCGTCACTCGCTGTCCGCTCTAGGTGCGACGATGGTTTTCCACCACCGAGGCGCACTTGATAACATTGACCGAGCTGTCTTTGTTTACCTTGCGAGGCAATCCCCACAGATGACACGCCCTCCATCCTGCCTGTCCGATAAATGTGCAGGAAGTAAGTAGTGCAGGATTAGTTAAAAATTTAGTAAAATCTAAATATTTTTAAATTGTATACTTATCCTGCACTACTTATGATAAGGGCCCAACCTGCGCTTTTAGCTACCTCCCCTTTTTGTTTTCATCTATCATCAATCGTCTGGCACAGCCACGTTTCGAGTCGTAAGCAATAAGTGCAGGAAGTAAGTAGTGCAGGATAAGCATACAAATATAAAAAATATTTAGATTTTACTAATTTTGCATTGAATATCCTTGTTTATGCTTGACATTGGCATGAGAATCTATGTCGAAACATCTCCTGACACTCGCCTATACAGAATAAAGAAGTTGTATATCCATAAAAATATTGTCCTCATTCTTCATCTCCTCAACTTCTAGAATGCAATCAAAGAAGTGGGATGATTGAGTTATCTCCCTTTATCTTCAATGCATGATTTGTCATGTCATTGACTGATCTATATTTATCCACAATATTGTCAGTTTGTCTTATTGATCTATCATACAGTTTAATGTGCTTGTTTTGTAGGTTTCACACCTGATGTCAAAGTATGGGAGGTGCTATTTGACAAATCTGGAGGTTTTAAAGAAGTCAAAAGAGCTTACGAGTTGAAAGGTCATGGTGCAGGTGTCCATAGCTTTTCATTCTCAAACGATTCTAGTCGGTAAGTGATTTATTTTAATGAATAAATAAAATACTGCTGTATTATTTCTTTCCGAGTCGTTTCATGGTAATCTGTTTTGTATCAAACCATCTGTCATGTGACCAATTTCCATGGCGGCCACAACACACATTGCTGTTTTCGCTAATTCGGCGATGGGATTTGGCTCATTATTTAATTATGTTTTGGGAAATCTATTACAGCGACAGTTAAGTATGATCCTTTATGCTACTATCAGTCGTCATTTTAAGATTCCCGTAGATTTCTGTCTTCAAACTTGATGTGTTATGGTAACAACTCGGGGGCGAGCGTGGCTAGACTGAATGAATGACAGGTTTATTCGCGGTGTATAAATTTTCGCGCTAAAATGTTTTGCGCGAAAAGGGCGAAAATAAAACCTGCGCGAAATATACTACGTTTACAGTAGTAGTTACACTATGGTACTGCTGGTGTGACTAAACCTCTCAGCTGGCGGAGTAGCCTGATGGTTAAAGCGTCCGCTTATCACACTGAACACCTGGGTTCGATTCCCCACATGGGAATAATGTGTGCAGCCCATTTCTGGTGTCCCCTGCCATGATATTGCTGGAATATTGCTAAAAGCAGCGTAAATCCATACTCTCTCACTCACTCTTAGCATGTGACTACCTCTGTGGTGTAGTGAATAGAGTGAGTGAGTGAGTTGGTTTTACGCCTCTTTTAGCAATATTCCAGCAACATCACGGCAGAGGACACCAGAAATGGGCTTCACACATTGTACCCATGTGGGGATTCGAACCCGGGTCTTCGGCTTGACGATCCAACGCTTTAACCACTGGGCTACCCCACCGCCCCAGTGAATAGAGCATCTTCTCGGGTGGCCATAGCGATGTCAAGTAATGATGCTTGTTGTTGCCCTGCCTGGCACGCTTGTCATGAAACTAGGACAGGTCCATTCGGGAGTCTCACTCTCCTACCCAGAGTTCCATGCGGCCAGCCAGCATAGTACCTCTGCCACGGGCCAGAATGATGTGACGATTCGACACATCTTACACTGTCCATTCAATATAATGTACAGATTTCTTAACTCTTTTACTTTTGATGAGTCTACACATCTAATTAAACATCATTGTTAGAATGGTTTAGTTTCACTGAGAAAATATCCTAAAACGTGTAACACTATTGCGATTTGCGTAGCGATCCTTTGTTTACATGGGTTGTACGGCACCACGTGCTGTCATCGAAGCCGACAGAGAGCAAACGATGCAGCCCCTATGATATATAAATATGTATTGTCATAAACCATACTGTCGCAGTTGTAGAAGAATAATTATGTAACAATGTAAAACATATCATGAAGACCGCGCCGAATCGCTTGCGTCAGACCAGTCTCTTCATATTTACGAATATGCGCGCAATTGTTTACAAACAATAGAAAAGTCCGGTCACATGATATGCAAAGGAGCCTGTGGCTGTGATGTTATGCTAAGTCATCACTGCACCGGAGTGTGTCGGAGTCTGTGTACTGTGTGACAATGGAGTATTAATATCAAACTGTGGTATGATTTAAATATTATGCAACAATTATGCATTGAATGCGGCATTAAATCACTTTTTTTCTTCGTGTTTATGTTGTGTTGCCATTAACTAAAACATGAAATATGATGACATTGTTTATTTCTAGGATGGCTTCAGTGTCTAAAGATGGCACTTGGAAGTTTTGGGATACTGATGGTAAGTAGCCCCACCTTTCTTGCAGTTATGACTTCATGAACACCTCCCTGTAGTCTGTGCATGAATAATACTCAATTTGGTTATTTTATTTAGTCCCAGTTTGGATTCAATAACAGAATTGGCCCCCAACAACCTATGTTTGTTATAAGACAGGACCAAATGGATATTGCAGGTTATATTATGATTATTATTGTTAGCTTATTACTGTATCCTAAAGAGATAGACCGCCTCCATGGTGTAGTGGTTAGAGCGTCCGCCCAGAGAGGGGAAGGTCGCGGGTTTGATCCCCGACCGCGTCATACCAATAGACGTTAAAATATGGTACTTGTTGGTCCCTGCCTGGCGCTCAGCATTAATGGGTACAACAAGGACTGGTCGGCTCGGAGTCAGTATAATGTGTCTGAGTGGGGTATTCATGCTTCACTGCGGCATGGTATCTCGGTGAGCTAGCACTATAAAACCAGCTTAAGTCTGGGCTAGTACAAGCAGCCTCACATACACATACACATGCATGCACGTCGTCATATGAGCGAAATGTTCTCAAGCATGACGTTAAACCTAATTTCACCTCACCTCACCTCACCTCACCAATCAAGAGATGGATCTTGATTATATCAGTGACTTGATTACACTTTTGATCCATGAAGATCAGGCTTAGAATTGAATTGAATTCTTCAGTAACCCATGTTTGTCGTAAGAGGCGACTAATGTGATTGGGTGGTCAGGCTCTCTGACCAATTGCGTAGATTGATGCTCATGCAGTGTCACTGGATTGTCTGGTCCAGACTTGATTATTTACAGACCGCCGCCATATAGCTGGAATATTGCGGAGTGTGGTGTAAAACTAAACTCACCCACTACACTTTGCACCCTGCCATGATAAAGCTGTGATATTGGTGCCTATGACATACCACTATACTAGTTTTATTCATTCACCTCCCTGTGTATGGGAGATATGGATCTGTTGTAGAGGTTTTTATCACTTACCACTGCATATATACATATATTCTTACCTAGAAGGGCATACATGAGCCAATCCATAGTTGCCTCTGTTAAGATATCCCTATCTGGGATTACAAGACTACTTAAATCATTAATGACTTTTATCTATGACTCAATTAATTTGAGTTATGTCAATTAACCAATAACAGTATGTATTCTACAAGGAACGAGTAAAGTTGGCAGGGGAAAATGACTTTTTCCACAAACCATTGGCAAATGGCATTATATCCAGTTTGGCATTATATCCAGGGTGGCATTATAACCAGGGGCAGTATAACCAGAGTGAATGTCTATCATGTGTGTCTATCTTGCAATGAACTGTTTACGATGCCATTGTTTCTTTATAACTGAACATTTTTTGTGAATAGAGGTAGCAGTTCAATTGATATCTCATCAAACTTCACTTCCGCTGCTTGTGATGATCCAACTTTTATGAAATTAGAGGCAGCATATGCCAAATAATGAGATTTACAGATTCTAAGTATTGTTACACAATTCAAATATGCCGGTCAAAATGCTTTGCTAAGTCATACAGAGAATAGAGAGCGTTACTCATAACATCAGTCTCTGGATTGTCTGAACTTGACGCAATTAAGAGGTCACCATCATAAAGCTGGCATGTTCCTGATTGCAGCAATAAACAACAAACAGAAAACCTTTGGTTCTTTGTGTTATGTGTCTATACGTTTATTACAGTGCGATACGAGTTTGATCAGGATCCCAAGCTGTTATACACCGGCAAGCTGAGCCACCCTAGTCTCCATCTGATAACACTGTCACCTGATGCTCGATCGGTCGCACTTGCTGGTGACCAGTCAATCTCTATATGCAGCACTGTCTCAGGAAAAGAAGAAGAATTTTTTGAAAATGTACATGCAGGTGAGTAACTACTACTACTACCCTCACCATAGCACAAGACCTTCCCCACCACACCGATGTTTCTCCTGTTGGTACAACGTTCATCGTGAAATCTGTAGACTTGACTGTGTCTGTGATTCATATGTAAACATCTACATTAATTTGAAACCCAGCGTGAATGTTGTCTGCTCCATTGTAAATAGAGCCCGTGACTGACTGTGGAAGTCATCTGGGTGCCGTTGTAATAAGTGATCTTGGCACTGAGGTGACTGTTACTCCCATTCCTTAATATAGACTTACGACAGTCTTAGCGCTAAGGTGACTGTAACTCCTGTTCCTTAACATGGACTTAAGGTAGTCTTAGCGCTAAGGTGGCTGTAAGTGTAACTCCCATTCCTTAATATAGACTTAAGGTAGTCTTAGCGCTAAGGTGGCTGTAAGTGTAACTCCCATTCCTTAACATGGACTTAAGGTAGTCTTAGCGTTAAGGTGGCTGTAAGTGTAACTCCCATTCCTTAATATAGACTTAAGGTAGTCTTAGCGTTAAGGTTGTTTTGTCCAATGGCATCCTGATTAGGCCATAAATATGAACAACAGAAATAATGAGAAACATATACTGTAAACGTATTATATTTCGCGCAGGTTTTATTTTCGCGCAAAACATTTTAGCGCGAAAATTTATACACCGCGAATAAACCTGTCATTCATTCAGTCTAGCCACGCTCGCCCCTGAGTTGTTACCATAACACATCACGTTTGAAGACAGAAATCAAAGGGAATCTTAAAATGACGACTGATCATACTTAACTGTCGCTGTAATTGATTTCCCAAAACATAATTAAATAATGAGCCAAATCCCATTGCCGAATTAGCGAAAACAGCAATGTGTGTTGTGGCCGCCATGGAAATTGGTCACATGACATGGTTTGATACAAAACAGATTACCGTGAAACGACTCGGAAAGAAATAATACAGCAGTATTTTATTTTAAGATTTTAAGATTTTATTCACCAGTACATCATGAAGTGAATAGTCACTAACACATCTCATTCACAACAACCCGGCTTGTTTGAAATCACAAAGAGCTTCATATACAGTATAAGTTCATTCGTCAAATCGTCAGAATTCGGAACATAAGACTGATGTGTTTTTCATCTCTTCCGGGAGTAAACGGATTACTGTGTACTAGTATATCGCACAGATAGGGATTTCCTGTGAGTAAGCAATAAACGCCGCCTGACAGGTTAAGCCACTCTGTTTGTTTTCATTGCTATTAGTGGCGGCCAAAAAGACAGCTGGCAGTTCCGGCAATTACTGATTCTTGTGAATAATTGACCGCTACGATATAGTCTAAACTGTCAATTCATGAAAAATTGCACCACGAATAAAAATAAGTATACGTTAGTGTTTGCAGTGAAAACGTACCGATGAATTTCACTTTAAACAAAAAAGTAAATCACATAAAGTGAAATTAAGATTGCGAATCCTCATGATTTTACCTTGCCAACTGAATTTTTAAATCTCAGAATTTTATTCAACTTATGATAAAAGTTGTTTAACAAACAATCATAGTTCCAAATCGCTATTATTGGTTTGTATTACAAGGGGGTACGAGCAGTTGTTGGAATAGTGAAACAAATGCATGTGCGGTACATGATGAGCGTTAACTTAGACTACCGTAGAAACCAACCCTTCTTGTTCTCGTGTTTTCATTTAATGTGCATACCCCCTTGTAATACATACCAATAAGAGCGATTTGAAACTATGATCGTTTGTTAAACAATTTTTGTCCTAATTTGATTACCTTTCTGAGATTTTAATGTTCAATTGGCAAGGTAAAATCATGAGGATTCGCAATCTTAATTTCACTTTATGTGATTTACTTTTTTGTTTAAAGTGAAATTCATCGGTACGTTTTCACTGCAAACAGACTATAGCTGCAGGCTGTTCAGGTTTGCTGATTGTCAGTATACCATGTAATATTGATGTTAGCAGCTGGCATGATGAACAACACCAGCTGTCCTCTATTTCCAGGTGTCAACTGATTCAGAACTTTTAGTATTTTGAGTATTATGGAATTTGCTCATGTGAGGCCCTGTCTTCTGTTAGCTGAGGAATTCAATGAATATACCTTCAATCCTTAAAATTTAAATAAACAATTGGCATGCACATCTTATAAACAATTAAATTGAATCCAGAGCCGAGGGCCATTAGTTTTAAGGAATGGACTGTGACGAGGATATTACCCTGCTTAAATTACATTCCAAGTAGGGTATTTCTGTTATCAAAACTAAATGTCAAAATGAAACATACTATCAAAGTCTTACTTTTGAAACTGGTATCCATCACTCCATTCCTGAAAAATAATGGATTGAGCAGATAATGGAATGACGTCACAAATGTAATTTAATTGTCAGTAAAATTTTCAAACTGCAGTTAAGAAAGTTGCCAAGGTGTGTTATTTTGCACATAGATGACTAGATTTTCACTGATAACAGGACTAATAAACAAAAAGTTGTAAAGTCCCACTTTTAATTTTTTTGCTTTGAATCAATATTTAAGACCCCTGAGTTTCAGAAAAAAAGGACTTTTAAGATCGTCCCAATTTGAACAAAACCATTCACATTTTGTCCTCTAAGGACATTATTGGATTACTAATAAATCCTTGAACTCATATCCATGTTGGAGCAGTGGGGTGGCCTTGTGGTTAAAGCGTTCGCTCGTAATGCTGAAGACATGGGTTCGATTCCCCACATGGGCACAATGTGTGAAGCCCATATCTGGTGTCCCCGCCGTGATATTGCTGGAATATTGCTAAAAGGGGCGTAAAACCAAACTCAGTCAGTCAGTCAGTCATGAGCCTTGGCTTGATGTGTGGTTCATAAGTTGTTTCATGTTTTTAACAATGTGAAGTCCATTTCTGGTGTCCCCCCTGCCTTGATGTGGCTGGAATATTCCTAAAAGCGGCGTAATACTAAATTCACTCACTCATTCACTCATATCCATGTCCATTCTTCCAGATACAATATCACAGATAGGGTTTGATGTGAGCAGCAAATACTTGCTCTCCGCTGGAGACAAACATGCTCAGGTGTTCCATAATGTGACTGGGTACCGGGCCACCATTGCTGACCTGGAGCAGAAGGAGAAGAAGGCCAACACAGTAGCCATGATGGAAAGAATAAGAAACCAGATAAAAGATGCAAGGTACAGTATGGTCCCCGTTCTCGCTGCTTACTTCCTGGTCCTTGTTGATCAACTGTCAAAGACACTCTGAGTAGAGAACTGATAATGTTTGTCTCCGAATTCTGAATATATTACCCATTCAAATTAGTAATTTAAATACTGTCAAACACTCAAAATACAGGTGAGGTCAGCTCTAAACATATTCTCATAGGTCATATTAATATTTGGTTAAGGCTCATGACAGAGCTACAAAGGGACTATTAATAATTTATAGCTAGGGGGTGATGATGATTTATTTTGGGGGTGGGGTGTTCCACCCATTTTGGTCGGGTGGGGGTGGGGGTTTTCATCAGTTTTGCATACATGTACTAGGGTGGTCATCACTGATTTTGTACATGCTTCTCCATAGAAATCATCAGCCCCCCTTGCCATAAATAATGAACGGTCCCTAAGGAAAGATAAACACTTTATTTGATCAGGCTTTTGCCTGAATGTTTTTACTAACAAGTAGTTACTATTGTGATGTATTTATTTGTTAATGTATTAAACCAGAACTCATCTAGGGTATACTGTAGTGAAAGAATTTGATTGGCTGATAATACTTTTCTAATCATAGAAATGCAGGTAATACCTGCAAAGAGACTGGATTCCTTACAGAGTTTTGTCATATTCTATAACATATGGATTCTTTTTTTCAGATCCTCTCTCTCCGTGATTTTGGGTACAACCAATGGGCATGCAGAAAGCAAGTGAATAGTCAGCCAATCAGCATCCCTGTTGTTGTTGCTCAAGGAATTAGCAATGAAAGGCAGCATCTCACTGCAAAATATTTCATAATCATTTTCCCTTATGTTTACATGTGTAATCTTGTGCTGAACTTGAACTTTCGGAAGAAGAATACGAGAATGAAACTTTGATATTCATGCTTGGGTAAATGTCTACAGAGGTACCCTACCAATGATGCAGTCAAGGTTTTCTGTCACTCAAGATGTTGAAATGCAATTATGTAATTTGTTTTGTCAAGGAAATACTGAAAAGTGATGAATAGAAAAAAGATTATTCATATCTGATGAACAGACATTCTATACTGGATATATCCTGTATCAGCTTTGCAGCAGAATCTGTTCGAAGAGGTAATCAGTGTTGAGCGGACTGTGAACATGAGCCAGTTTCATTATGCTTTGACGAACATCAAGCGTCTGAAATGGAAATATTCTTAAAAATGGTCACATTGCCTTTCAATAGCTAACTGAAATGAGCTTGAACATAATCTACACTTGCCAAACCATAATAAGGGATGGTTCATAATTTAATGCTAGTGGGGGGGATGATGATTTTAAGGGGGTCACCCATTTTGTTCTGGGGGGGTCATCAATTTTATGCACGTGTGTGTGTGGGGTGGTGTTGGGTGGGTTAGTGTTTCAGCAATTTTGTACAAAAGAAAATTTAAAAAGTATGCTTAAAAATTATGGGAAGGGGATGGGGGTCGTTGATTTTGTACATGATATGCAGGAGGGTCACTTACTTATTACACAAATTTTAGGGGGAGGAGGGGGGTTTAATTCACATTGCACATGTTTCTCCATAAATATCATCATCACCCCCCCTAGCCATAAATTATGAATGGTCCCTGAGCTAGCAAATTTTGGATAGTTTAAATTTCAAGGTCAGTTTCACAGACTAAACCATGCTTTGAATGGCTGGTATCCCTGGTAATGAGTGCAGCCTTGAAAATATCAGGCAGCCATGTTATTATGGTGTTGGATCATCACATACAAGACCTTGCTGTGATTCCCAAACTACATATAATGTGTGCAGTCCATCCTCGATGTCCTTTGCCTCAACTCAAGTAATTGAATTATGTTAAAAATGGCATGAAAAACAAACTCCTTGTATGGAGTGCATTGACATGCCTGTTGATCACCTATTCTTCTCTGTTGTTTTAAGTTAAATCTTCAGAGGAGTATCCAGCCATGACCTTTGTTGTTATAAAGGGGTGTTATAAATGATATATATGTTACTTTATCATGTGTCAAAAGACAAGGTAGGACATGGGATTGTTTTGACTCATAGTGTCTGTTTTAAAATAAGAATTGAGCAAACCTGTGAGAAATGTCATTATCTTTTTATAAATGTTCAACTGAATGACAACTGAACTTTGTACATTTGAACAATTGCATGTCAAAGACTACATTAAATGCATTTTTAAGGACAATTTGCCAAAATGTCTCATGTGCATTGTTTCCATGAAATAGTTTTTCAAACAGTTGAAAATAATCAATTTTTTGAGCCAAGCTGTTACACATTACAAACATACAGTAAACAATTTGGTCAATAACTTGCTCATTCACGTTTTGTTCATTTCCAAAGAGGAATTGAAGTAACTTCATAAATACATGTACATGAAACTGCATAAATATAAAAATATACTCATCTTTGGGGCTAGCACTACATTGTTCATTCTCTCGTAACTGTATTCTATGACATCATAACCATTGTCCTTTCTTACATCATGACAGACAATGCTGACAGATGTTACTGTTACATGATGCAACAATGGCTATGATGTCACATTGTGAACATACTTAAAATTTAATTCAGTTGAAGCAGGGAAAGTTTATTGAATACTGTAGTGCTAAATCCAGAATAGTATGTCTGCATCAAGGCAGCTGAAGACACTATATGCATTCATTTGTAGTTCTAAAGTTGACATTTTTCACTACAGTGGTGCGTTTGTGCCAGAATTCATACATTTGCAAGTGTAATGAAAAAATATGCCAGTTATGAGCCATTTGAAAATGTTTGATAATTTCCTGGGCCTGAAAAAACCCTTGTCCTAACTCCTGGAAAGGATACCATTACTGGTAGCACTATTAAGAATGAGACCCATGCTTTGTTTGTAAAACCTACGTTATTAAGCACAAACAGTGATACTCAAATTGAAAACTTTTAATAAAATTTGAAGCAAAAACATGTACCGTTGGCGTTATGCAATACATCCAGTCATAATCTCGTGCCACAGACCAACACCAAGTATCGTTATGTGAACCTGTATAGCGATAAACATTATTATCAAATGTATGAACCTTAAGTAACAGACAAAGCAGGAGTGATTAGTTTTAGTTTCCTTTTTTTAGTTTCGTATCACTGGGCTGTGCTAAGAACTACTGTTGTATTTCTTTCCCTGTATGTTTCTTGGTAATGAGGTTGCTTACTGATCAGCCAGACATGAATGATCTATTTTTCTATGCTGATAAAGGTGATAACGTACTAAGACATATCTTTACTCTATTGGTTCTGTTTTATTTCATGGTGACGGTAATAACTGTTATGCTGGTATGTGTGAGACCAGATACATTGTGCGACAGGTTCATGTCATATCCACCCATGAAGATCGGGGTTAGAATTGATCTTCAGTAACCCATGCTTGTCGTAAGAGGCGACAAACGGGATTGGGTAGTCAGGCTCGCTGACTTGGTTGACACATGTCATTGTATCCTAATTGCATAGATCGATGCTCATGGTGTTGATCACTGGATTGTCTGGTCCAGGCTTGATTATTTAATATTTATAGACTGCTGCCATATAGCTGGAATATTGCTGAGTGTGGAATAAAACTAAACTCACTCACTCACTTACTCACTCACTTATGTCAGATCCTCAGATGTGTGGCATTAGAGACCAGTTCAAAAGTTCAATGTAGGATGAAAAATTTAATTCTTTTAGTTCTGAATGATCCACCCTTCCACAATTACTTTAATTCTGTAAATAATGAATTCCCTGTAATACTTAAAAACATGCTGTCAGGATGAATGACGAACATATCTTAGTGCAGCGGCAATATCCTGGTAAAAATAGGATTGTGAAATAGGATCAGGATTTTGTTTTTAGTTAATAATAAGTCATCTTTTATAACGCACAGTCTCCAAACACAAAGTGATTGCTCGCGGCGTTTTATCAGAATCTGATTCTTATTACCCCAGATAACCCAAGCTGCCTGTTAGGCGCTAGAAGGTTATAGTCACATGACTTTATCCCACCGGGTACCCATTTTCTGCTGGGTGAACAGAGGCAATTTGAACAAACTCATTTGCCTAAGGTGAGACCACATGCATCACATGTGCTTCGTTGTGGGGGCAGGACTGAAGTCCTAGAAACTCTCAGGAGTCATGCTGCCAAACATGGTCACCCATCCAAGGATTGTCCGAGCTGGACGTTGTTTAACTTCAACTGATTCGTGACCTGAGCTCTCTGCACAGGACCACACGCCACCACAATTATTGAATGAAACATTGATAAATAATGTAAGGATATTAATGTCAGATAGAAAACTTGCAGGACCGTTGAAATGTTGCTGTCAATCACAACTGTCAATAATAACAATCTCGTAGTAAAAATAGGATTGGTGAAATGGGATGGAAGCTTTGTATATTTTATTTACTTAATGAAACACTGAGAAATAAGGTATGTTAATTTGCAGGACAGAAAGCTTGCCAGGTTTTTGAACCACCACTAACTTAGATAGCTTACTTTTGAATGGAATATCATCATCAACGTTTAGTATATATATCTTTAAATATGAAACCTTAAAGATGACAAACACAAGGAGAATGATGAAATATATGCGCAGAGTAATTCACATAATACATTTAAGTTTTCAGAAATAAAGAAGAGGGTATCAGAATTCCAAAATAAGGAAAGGGGAAAATTTTCAAAGTAACCGCTGCTTATTAGGTCTTGGTGAAATGAGTTTTGATGATGGCTGAAAATTATTCTTGCAGTATGAACATGTTAATTAAAAAGGGCACACCTAAACATTTGTATGAGAACCAAATCACATGAAAGGAGGGAAATATGTTTTTTGTTTTAGTTAGAAGGTGATGTGTGTGTGAGTGAGTGAGTTTACTTTTACAAGGCCTTTAGCAATATTCAAGCAGTATCACAGCGGGGGACACCAGAAATGGGCTTCACACATTGTACCCATGTGGAGAATCGAACCAAAGTCTTTGGCGTGACCAGAGAACACTTTAACCACAAGGCTACCCCACTGCCCAAGAAGGTGATGTGTCATGCTGAGCTCAGCACTATTACAGGCATATAGCTGTTTACAGAAGGTGAACTGGTCCCAGGAAGGCATGGCTGCCATTCAACAGTGAAGTGGACTCCCAGTTCCCTGTGTATGTCCTCTCAGCATATTATAATAGGTTTGAATGAATGTGTTTTTTTGGCGATAATGGGTCAACAAATCCAACTGGCTGGATGTTTGCTTAGCCAGAGTTTGTATTGTCCAGACTGCTCGGACAGGTTGCTTTGATGAAGCTATACCATCAACAGCGATTTCATAAGACAGTGTTCACCCACTGCCCTTTTGATTCCAGTGTCCTTCCTCTGTTGTATCCTCCATTGCGTTTTTACCTTTCTTACAAAATCTTGACATAATTGAGCTAAGAAGATAAAGGAGAGATTCTATCATAAAGAATCATCATAGTCATCATCATTCATCGTTTTTTTGTAATCGGTAATAACCTGTGTCCTGAGTGTATAAAACCAACCAATTTCATTGGCAGAGAGATTAGTGATGCCATTTGTTTGTGACATCATAGCAGTGAATTACGTCACAGTGTTCTGCAAAACATTGTCGTTCAGTTTCATTGTTTCATTCATACTTCTTTTGGAAGCCAGCTTTTGGATGTTAAATGAGACTTTTTCAGCTGTATATACCACTGTTTATCCAACAAGATCACTGGAGTATCCTTAATTGTCACCAGGAAGCAATTTTTGTCCAACCCAAACCATCAGGTGAGATGAGGTGAAATGGGGTTTAAGGTCGTACTTGAGAATATTTCGCTCATATGACGACGTGTGTATGTGAGGCTACTTGTACCAGCTCAGACTTAAGCTGGTTTTATAGTGCTAGCACATTGAGATACCATGCCGCAGTGAAGCATGAATACCCCACTCCGACACATTATACTGACTCCGAGCCGACCAGTTCTTGTTGTACCCATTAATGCTGAGCGCCAGGCATGGACCAAGAAGTACCATATTTCAACGTCTTTTGGTATGACGCGACCGGGGATCGGACCCGCAACCGTCCGCTCTCCGGGCGGACGCTCTAACCACTACACCAGGGAGTGGGTCCCAAACCACCAGGATTGTCGTAAGTTTACTTGTGCATGATATGGGCAGTGAACTATTAAATCACCCATAGCTAAGGGACATCAGACCTCTCTCATCGTGTCTTAACGGACAGCAGACT